CAACAATCCAATCCATATTTTTTATTTTAAAAGTCTCAAAATTAAATAAAATTTATGTCCTAGCCTACTAATGAGGTTGGGACAAGCAACTCCAGTAAGATTATCCATTTTTATTCTACTATCTTCCCAGGATGTGCATTTTACAAAAACAAATCTGCCCAGTGCCATCTACTGTAACCTCTGGGTATTGCAAGTGCCTTTTAAAACTTCCTGGCAGAGACTTTTTCCTTTTTTTTTTTTAAGGATAAGATTAAATCAGAGAATTCTCCACACCAATATGTGTTCCCCTCCGCCTCCCAAAGTAGAAATGGCTCTGAAACAGTTTAAGGAGAAGTTTAGATGAGTAGGGAACACAAACACCCAGTTCTAAATTCTAAGACCAAACACTTCACATCCAAGTCACAGAACACCCATCTGACTGGGAGCCTCAGGAGCAAAACTGACCTTGTAATCTGTGGTTTACAGAGAGTGACAAGTTTAAATTCAGGACATTCTAGACTAGCACATCATGAAAAGCTATTGTAGTCTATCAAATCCTCCAACCAAGGAATCATTGCTCTACAGACCTTTGTCAAACCTATGTCTATATATATATTTTTTTTTACTAAAGCAACTCATAATATGAATGTCTAGTTTTTCTCTAACTTATTCCAAAAGCTCTTTAGTTTATAACACAAACTAAAATATAGAACTCTATTTTGTTATTTGTGAAAGATAGAGTTTCCATTTTGGCAGGCCACCACAGCTTATGGAATTTTTATATTCAATGGAGGTGAATGTTCCCTACCATTTTGCCTAGGGAGTTACAGCTTTGCATTCATTTCTGGTTGAAATGTGCTTTTGACACAAACACTTTGGGAGAAAGTATAATTTTTTCAGAGCCTGCTTAAATATTCATAAAAAGAGCATATGCTCATCCCCTAAAGCTGAGGACACAGGCTTAAATTTACCCTTGGCTTGCAACTGAGAGATGCCCAGCAACCCAAACTTCCCAAAATATATTATGTGTGACACAAGACTAGAATGCAGAAAATGAAAAGGCTTGCAACAATTTTAATAGCAACTCAAAAGATGAAATTTTTATGAGACGTCTTTAATTTGAAAGTGAAGACAACAATTAAATTGTTGAAGTCTGGTTTTTTTAATCTAGGAATGTAACAATTTTTTTCCCTAAGTGATTTGACATTAACAATTTTAGGATCTATAAGTGAGGATGTGGGTCAATGATACAAAGGCAAATAATGTGAAATTGCTGTTTTCTGCTGTTTCTCTGTAATAATAATCACAAAAATTAAAAAGGATCATACCTAGGCCACTCCTTCTTTATTAATCACATGTAAGTTGTTATTAATTACTCAGAGATGCCAGGGACTCATTCTATCTTCAGTCTCCCACTGCTATCTTGAGGAGAGTTAATTTTTTTGATCAGTTATTAATATGTAATAGTTCAACAGCAAAGTCAAGAAGGTGGGTATAAACCAATAGCTAATGATATCAATAACTAACAGCTAAGAGAAATTCAAAGGAGCTAACTTGCTTTAAAACTACCAAGTGTTAGAACAAGGCCTCCCCATTCTCTCACGAGTCTCTTCTTGTCTTGAGACATTTTATGCTCTCACTTACATATGATTTGTGAGTCAGAAGCATAACTAAGACATTTTTTATGTACATATAGAGCACTCTTCCAGGGGGAATGCAAACGCCTGCCTTATTACAGCAGTTGGAAAGCAATCCTTCATTAAAATGTTAAGATATAGGATTTATCTCCCACTGACTTCTTGAACCATAGCAGCTTCTCTCTTTCAGGTTTATTTATAAAACAATTGTCAAATTAAAATACCAAAAAACTTTAACCATTAGCATTTCATCTTGTAACCTGACAGCTGCATCACTTTAAATATCTGCTTGAAAGTTCAGCTCACTTATAAACACCTGGGATTTACCTACTTGCTGCTACACATGTACATGAGAATGTTATATGTATCTCTGACACTCTAAAGTGACTGGGCGTGGCTGTAACCGATCCTCATCAGTTAATTATCAATAATCACTTGATAAGTGTTCAATCTTCCCTAGGAACTGATAGTCCTCTGTCAGCTTATTCCACTACTTACCCTGGAAACACCAGAGTTGTTTTTTCCCCCCCATAAAACCATGTCAAAAACTCTAAGTTGTTCAGTGCCTATAAGTTAATGAGACTGAGGTGTGCCCATTAGGCAGCCGGCAGCCCTGGGCACCTCTGTGTGGTGGTGCTGGGACAGCTGGAAGGAGCACAGGTCAGGGGCTGGTACGTTAAAAAATGAAAATGGGTGAAAACAGGGCAACAAAATTAAAGCTTTTTCTCAATGTTTACACTTAATAAAGTAATACTTTTAACCAAAACAGTGCAGCACTATGATTGTGCTCTTCACAAAATTATTACAAGATTTTAAAAATATTAATTTGTGCCCTGGCCAGGTGGCTCAGTTGTTTGGAGCATTCTCCCATACACCAGAAGGTTGTGGGTTCATTCAATTCCTGATCAGGGCACATACCTAGGTTCAATCCCCATGTTGGGAGGTTACAGGAGGTAGCCAATCAATGTTCCTTTCACATTGATGTTTCTCAGTCTCTTTCTTGCCCTTTCTCTCTCCCTAAGATCAATGAACCTATCCTCAGGTGAGGACATCTATATCTATATAGATATGGACATAGATATATTCTGTAATCTGTGTAATTGTGTGTATGTCTAAGCTTATTTGCAAATAACTTCAAATTTCCAAGTTTGAGACCAACCCTTTTCTATCTTACCTTTCCTTCTTCCCCTGTAACCTTGAGGACACACACACACACATACAAATATACATATATATGAGATTTTCTGACCTAGAAGAATTCAAATCTAGTTAGGAAGAAAACACCCGCACAGAAAAACAACAGAAACACACACAGCAGAGTAAAACCAGGTGCTGAACTGTAGAGGTGTATATCTAAAATACAGAGTGGCTAGGACACACAATTAGCCAACATTGCATACTAATTATGCAAATTAGGAGAATAAGTCAAGGGAAACCAGGAAAGGGCAGTTGAACAGCACCCTGTAATCATGATAAAGACATTAAAACCTAAGGTGAGATTTGTCAATTGAGAAAGTGCGTCAACTTTCAATCTGCAAGACATCTTCACCAGCTAGCTTCCTGCGGTGGCTCTGGATACTCCCTTCACTCCAACTCACCCGGAATGTAACAGACTCCTGAACAGCCATGTCCCAAATAATTAAAGGGAGGGCCCTACAGCCAACCCCTCACCGCCTGCGGAGCCACCTCTCACTGCATCCTGAAGGTGTGCCCAGGCCAGAGTGTCTTCACTCCACCCGGCTTAGCCTTGTCATTTCTAACCAGTCCAATCAGCATCTCTCTCAGGTGGGCTGAGCAGGGCTGGGCAACTGTGAGGTTTTTGTCTCTTCAGGAATAGACACGCCCTTAGAAACTAAGACTTAGAGCTGGAATGTGGGGTGGTGACCACAGGACAAGGCTCTGGTGCACCAATACAAGATCGGCTCAAGTTGGCCCATGGTGATGGGTCCAGTTTTACAAGGAAAAGTCAAAACCCTTACTCTCACTGTGGCAATGATGGGCAAGAATTGCCCCGTCAGGATGAATCATCATCATCATCATCATCATCATCATCTTTGGTTGACATAGAACGGGACCCAAGTGAAGGCCTGAGTAAGAGCGAACCGGCTGCGCCTCACTCTGGCTGCTCCCTACAGGCACAGGGCACCACCAAGGCCCCGCGTGATGTCCTCAACGTGGCCTGCTCTTGCAACTTTAGTTCTCCATCCTAGGGCTTTGTGAATATCCACTCTGTCATCTGCGTCTCAAGACGTTAAAAACACCCAACCAGAAGCCCTGGCACTGAGCCACTTTAGTGGGACATGTGCAGGGGCGGGAGGGTCGTAGGCTTCATTCGTTCTTTTTCTTTCCTTTTCTAATAACCTGAGCCTCCCCCATCTCAGGTTGAGCTACCTACTTGCGACTTCTCAACTGTGAAAAGAGGAAGCGGGCAGGACGCAGAGGGCAGAAGTGTGGGTCCAGGACCCTTAACAAAGCCAGGCTCTCCCCGCGCTTGCCTGCCTCCGACCCCCTGCCCTAGGTGTACTGCTGAAAACGACCGAAACAAATGGGGAATTCAAGGAGGCAGTTGTTGAGCTCGCGTGTGAGGTTTTGCGGGAGAAAGAAACGGAGACTTGGCCAGCTCTGGTGACGCCACCTCCTCGCCCCCTCTGTCCCCAGATTCCCAGGAGGGAATCGCCCCACCACCACCCCCGCCAAACCCCCGGCCCGGCCCGGGGCAACTTCTCAGGGACCAGGAAGGATCCTCCGTGGCCTGAACTTAAATCTTCACATCGTTGGGAATGCTGTTGCTCTAACAATTATTTTTTTAAATTAAAGCCGAGCTTCAAATACAATAGTAGTGCTACTGAAAGAAGCCCAGAAGAAATAACAGTAACAGCAGTAGCTATCCTTTGACCTCACCCCCTAAACCCGAGGGTCCGACCCGGCTGCCGAGGAGGGTCTAGGGCGGGGAGGGCAGCCTGGGGACAGTGGGGGTCCTGGGATCTGCGGGGCCTCAGGAGACTCTGGGAGGAGGCGGGAGTCCGGGGGACCTCTGGGACCAGGAGGCCGGCGCGCCCCGCCCAAGCGCTGGGGGCCGGGACCGCGAGGAGCCGCCCCCTCCGGGACTTTCTACGGAGCGCGGACAGGAGGCGGGGTGTGCCGCGCGGTTAAAAGCCGCCGCGGCAGCCGCAGGTGCCGCAGTTCACAGGTGCTCGCGCTCTGCTCTCCGGGCCCTCAGCCAGGCGGCGGTGCGCTGCGCAGAGCGAGCGCTGAGGCGGCCGGGCTGGGACCACCCACGACCCGCCCAGGACCCGCGCGAGCGCCCCCGCCGCCACCGAAGCCCTCAAGCCCTCCCTCCGCCGCAGGTGAGCCCGCCCCGCCAGCGCGCCTCTGGTCAACAGCCGTGAGGCTGGCGCCCGACTCGGCGTCTCGGGACGACTGGAGCTGTGGGAACCAGGGAGAGGGGTGAAGAGGACCCGGCGCGGACTGGGGGCCTGGGGTGTCCAGGAACTGTGGGACCAGGCGGGATAAGGTCTCCGGTATGGGCGCTCTGAGACCTAGAGGGAGAGGGGACCTGGCACGGCCAGGGCTGTGGCGATCCGGATCGGGTGCCCGGGATGGACCCCGCGCGCACTAAGGTCCCTGCACGGTCTCCGTCCCGGGCAGTCGCGACAGCGGACCTCGGGCGACGGGCAGGTGTCGAGGGAGAACTTGAGGAAAGTGACTTCCGCCGAGTTCCGAAATTGGAGCAGGGACATTGCGGGGAGGGGACGTGGTGCCACCAACTTGGCGACTAATAGATACCCGCGCGCCGGGAAGGAGGGGGCCCAGGATAAGTAGCCCGCATTGCGATGTATGATCATCGATAACGTTCATCGAGTAAGATCTAATCTGCCATCAGGAGTGTAATTGGCCGAAGGCTCTGATTGGAAAGAAAGCTGGGTTCCGTTTGTTAAGCAGGAGTCCTGCCTGGAGGAGGTAACCTTTGTGAGCCGGACTACCCGCCCTGCAAGCAGGACACTGCAGCCTAAACTTGAGACATGGTTTCTTCGCTTCTTTTTCCTCAACAATCAGAGAGCCTTCGTTTCCAAGTGGCGTTTTCCAGCTGAAAGGTCACAAGCGGCTGAGAAACGTTCCCTAGGGCAGTTGCATAAGCCCTTCTGCTCTTGGAGGGAGGGGGGCATAAACTTAACCAGTGTGTGACCCCTAGTCTTCTGACAGTTGCACACATATGACCATTTACTTGGGACTCTGTCTCAAATGTGTGGCGGCAGCCATTTCCCTACTTGACCTTTGAGTCGTTTAAAAACTCAGGTACTAAGTTTGTCACAATTAGACACACGTGAAAGGGTGGAGTGCTCTGTGGAGGCAGTTGGTCAAGGTCTGCCAGGAAAAAAGGAGGGATTGAGAAATTAAGGGTAAAGAATTGCTTTGGCCTTTTCTGAAACCTGTGCCTTCCTTAAAGAACAGAACTTGCCTCTGCCAGAACTCCAAACAATGGCAAGCTGGTATGGGCCAGGGCAGGACAACAGCTCCCCACTGGTTTCATCCTGCTGGGTTAGTCCATCTTGACCTGTTACCCTGTCCCACTTGTGGGTTAAGTTTTAATTTGCTTCTTTTCCTGAAATGATCTACAAACATGTAGTTGCAGCCACAAAGATAATAGGACTCATTGTAGTTTTCTTGACTGGTGGTGGTTGGATTGGTTTATAAAAGAGTGTGGAGTCCATGTTTGGTACTTTAGAAGAGGACAAAGGCATAAAGCCCTCCTTACTGCCCCCCAATTTTTATCCACATGTACCATGGACAACTTATTTGTATGTGTCCTGTTCTCACTTAGTGCCCATGAAGAACTGAACTGTAATTCCATAAAATACTTTGGTTAGACTATGATTTTTGGTTCTGCTGTCAGACAGGACTAAACTGTGGAACCTTCAGCAGGATGCCCCTGGGAGGATCTCCAGACAGTCTATATTTAAAGGGTCAGGGCTGAACCCTGACTGAACCAGTTTGTTCCAGTGATGCTTGTCTTTTTCAGGCTAAGTAAGGCTAAATGTTTCTGAAGTACATTTCAAGCTTACACAACTTTTGTATCCATGACTGGTCACAGTGGCATTGAATTGTGTCAGCCAGACCTTGGCGTTCCCACCTGAGATGAGGCTCAATGATGAGCCTGATTAGAAATCCATGGGGGCGGGGGCGGGGAACAGGACCTAATTTGCTCAAAATGAGGAGAGCATTATGCTTTTTAGAGAAGAACAGTTCACTGCTAGCATAGAGGGGATGGAAAACGGACTGCTCATCAAGATTGTGAGGAAATACAATCTTGTCTAGAAGATGGGCTGATTGAGACAGATGGTATGTAACTATGAATAAATGGAGACAGTTCATATCCTAGGATGAAGAGAAGGCTGCTGGCTCATAGCAGGTTGATTCACAGGCTTCAAGTCCCCTTTCATTAAGATGTATGTTACGCCAGTGAGCTTTAATTCTGAGTTTCAGTATTCAACACAGTGACGTCACTTTCTGGTGCATCACTGGGAATCACTAAGTTAAATTTTCTGTCATTTTTTTCATAATGTGCCTCCTTAGAAACACTTGTAAATTAAAACCATAGCCCACAATAAAAATGTGCAGTTGCAACACTATATCAAAATAGATAGCCATCAGTTCAGCATGAGGGTGAGGACCATACACAACATTCACAAAAATCTATTAGTGGCTTTTCTCTATAGACAGAAAGTTTCCAACTTGTTCCTTTTCATATAGGAAAAGGAAGTGAGGCCTTTTGTGGAATTTTAACATGCAGTGCTTCAAATGTCAACTTTACTGTTGATAACAAACATTTCACTGCTACATCCCCAAGTCCGTGACGATTCACTGAAATAGCTTAAGGAAAACGGTTCTGCAGGGAGGCATGCCCTGTCGGCTTTTATAGCCAAGGTGGCCAGGTCCTAGTCTCAGTCCCAGTGATACAGTGAGGCTAAAATGCAAGTGCAGCTTTAATGGTTGAATGCCAGTTGTCCAGGGCCCAAGGAATGTCTGCAGAGGGGTCAGTCAGCACTAATTATGCCTTTATGTTAGGAGCACTTTTGTTTCTGGTGCCCCTCCCCCTGAATTTTTATTATGAGCTAAAGATGAGGTTCCTGGCAGGATGGCGCAGTTGGTTGGAGCTTCGTCCCATACACCAAAAGGTTGCAGGTTCAATCCCAAGTCAGGGCACTCATAGGAGGCAACCAATCGATGTTTCTTTCTCACACTGATGTCTCTCTCTCTCTCTCTCTCTCAAATCAATAACATATCCTTGGGTGAAAATTAAAAAAAAAAAGACTTGGTGAATTACTTAGGGGAATAAGCTGCTCTTTATTGGGGAAAACATAATATATTCAAGGTGGTTTGGGAACTATCCTTTTAATCTTATGACAAACTAAGTTGGTTTGGTTTTCACCTTTTGGGTGAGGCTTCGTAAGAGTTGGTGTTTGCTCAGGAAGAGATTTAAGGGTGCTTACTTTCCTAAGACCCAGGGAACTCTCAGATTCTGTTCTGATGAGTCACTCCTCTACTATGTTCATTTTGTCTTTTCCAGTGCGAACCGCCCAGGGAGGATGGATTGGAGCACTCTGCAGACTATTCTGGGGGGTGTCAATAAACACTCCACCAGTATTGGAAAAATTTGGCTCACCGTCCTCTTCATTTTTCGCATCATGATCCTGGTTGTAGCTGCAAAGGAAGTATGGGGAGATGAGCAGGCTGACTTTGTCTGCAACACTCTGCAGCCTGGGTGCAAAAACGTGTGCTATGATCACTACTTCCCCATCTCTCACATCCGACTCTGGGCCCTTCAGCTGATCTTCGTGTCCACACCAGCTCTCTTGGTGGCCATGCATGTGGCCTATCGCAGACATGAGAAGAAAAGGAAGTTCATTAAGGGAGAGATAAAGAGTGAATTTAAAGACATTGAAGAGATCAAAAGCCAGAAGGTCCGAATTGAAGGGTCGCTGTGGTGGACCTATACCAGCAGCATCTTCTTCCGGGTTGTCTTTGAAGCTGCCTTCATGTATGTCTTCTACATCATGTATGATGGGTTCTCGATGCAGCGTTTGGTGAAATGCAATGCCTGGCCTTGCCCCAATACAGTGGACTGCTTTGTTTCCAGGCCCACAGAAAAGACTGTCTTCACAGTGTTTATGATTGCAGTGTCTGGAATTTGCATACTGTTAAATGTCACTGAATTGTGTTATTTGCTAATCAGATATTGTTCTGGAAAGTCAAAAAAACCAGTTTAATACATTACCCAGCTATTAGGTAAAAGACAGCAGGAAAAGGATGAGGCAACCTATGCTTAATTGTCAAGGCCAAGTCACCATTATTTCACCAAGGTCAAGATTTTTATCTTAAACACAACCATTTGAAACTCCTGTAGCTCTCAGGTGAAGCTACAAGTACTTCTGATGGCACTCTTCTAAAACTAAAAAACAAAGGCTTGATCCTATGCCAATATTGATTTTTACTCAAATTAGTTCCAATAAAACCCTGTGCTGGTAGGGTTATTGAAGCAAAATAATTTCATTTTTTGAAGAAAGGATATTGTCATTTGTTTCTATTTCTTTAAGGAAAGGAGAGAAACACCAGGTCCTAAAGAGGATGCTGAGAAGGGTTGGTGGTTCCTCTTAGGGTTCCTTTTGCCATTTTCCCCCTGAATTAAAGGTAAACATAGAGAATCTTGGTTCTTTTATTCACTTTGGAAGTTCTAGTAACAATGGACAGGGTTACCTAATACTTCAAACTCTGTCATACTTTTTTTTATGTGAACACTTGAAAATGTTCTTTTGATCTAGAAGACATTCTGAAAACCATTATATGTTCCTACTATTTCAAAGGCTCAGATAGTGATACATAAGTGGTGTGTAATTAGGTACTGTCACTGAATTTAAAATGTGGTCTCAGTTATGAATAATTTTCAGGACCACTATATTAACTGTGGTATGCAGTTCACAAAAGTGTGGTGACCTCTTGCATGTGAAACAAACCAGACGTTCTTAGTGATGGCTTGACAGCCAATGGCCTCATTTCACAACTTTGGGTGTAATTTTGCAGGAGAAATATAATGTATCACCAACTGCCACCAACTATAGGCTGGCTCAGGATACCCTGTATCCCCTGTCAATATTTGCCTTTTCCATGACTGGTAAAGGGTAGAACACTGATTTGAAGAAGTTGCTTGGAACTATTTTGTTGCCACAGTACAAAGCAGAATCGGCAGCGGGGTGGGCGGTTGGGGGGGGGGGGGTCTGACTATTTTTAAAGAACAAACTGAAAGACTGAACTTTAAATTCTGGTGATTAAAAAAATGAGTTTCATCTGCTTCAAAAGTTTGTTTGCTTTCCTCATCAGCTTCAAGTTTTTTAAAGTGAAAATAGAATTAATAGACTTTAAAAAATAGGCACTATGGTTTAGATAAATATTTAGTAGTTCTGTAGGACACATTGAACCTTATCATGATGCTTGACATGGTTTTCAAAAAAATGGTACTCAGCATTCTTCAATAAGGGTAAACACTTTTCTTTTTGCCAAGAATAGTATTGTAAAAAACATTTTGTAATAATAAATAATAGCTTTAATTACATGCTTGTAACTAAAATAATTTTGTAATGCCTCAAATGTCATTCAAAATATTAAAATATAAATTCATATAATAGTTATTTAAAATGCTTTACAGTTTTTAATAGAATAGCAAGTTTTAATGTCATCTATAGCCAATTTTGTATAAGGAGTTTAATATTTTAAGCATCATAACACCAAAGAGATAAGTTCCCACGTTATCTGTTCACCATCCTTGATTCTTCTGCCCAGTTACAGAAAAGCTTCTGTCACCAGAAAGAGAGAGAGAAAAAAAAGATTTGGCTGAACTACACACTGACCCCAACAGGTTTTTGACAAACACACACACACAGCGTGGTGTGCAGATGGGGTTTGTAGTTTGGAAGGTGCCAGGCTGGGTTCATATAACCACTGTGGCTCCTAGAATCATGGTAGCTGACAATTTAAAACAATATTCATGGTGAAAGTTGGCTAAGGCATGAGAAAAATCCTACAAGTTATCTTTTTCTGTAGAATTATCTTTAGGATTGTCTTTCTGTGTATTTGTATGTAATCGAAGTGGGCCTTAGAAACTGCTTTTTACTCCTTGGTGCACATTTCCATGGGAAATAAACCCGATGGGTCAGCTGTTTCCATGTGTGTGTCCCTCAGGCGCTTTCCCTGAGACAGCAGCTCCAGCCCCGTCCTCACTCAGTCCAAGGCCTTCAAGGCATTTTATACATCAATAATTATGAGTATTTTTATGGAAAATCACATTTTTTAAATGAATTTAAAAGGACCCAAACCAGCCAACTTTCATCCGGATGGTAAGAAAGTGGTAAGAACTAGTTCTTGCCTTTCAACATGCTCTGCACACAGCCTGTTAAAACAGCACATGGTTTTTAAATAGGTATATTCAGTCTTACAAGCCATGAAAATTATGACTCTCAAGGTCCTAAAACACTGGGTCAACTAATTACAGATGACTTCTGACCACTTTTAAGGACTTAGGGATCTGGCCACAGGCCTAAAAATTGAGAGCATGAACTCTGGTTTTTGGTAAAATGGTAATCCTGAATATATATTTTAAATCATTAATTTAAAGAGAAAAAGCTCTGTTGCTTTTTAAAGATTGTCCTGAAGGACTGTGTCAGGTTAGCCATGTCAAGCCCAGGGCTTCATGCAGGGCTCCATGCCTGCAGCACCTGGCTGAGTATCATGAGTTTAGGACATGGGTAAGGCCCCACTGCTAATTCTGTCTTGTACAAGGTGTATTAATAAACTGGGAATTGTGGTCTCAACTCTTCTGTACATGTGCAACTGTCAAAATGTGGATCACAATGGTTATGAGTGGGTCAGAGGCAACTCAGGAAGACAAATGCATTCTCCAGGGTAGCCTGGACCTGGGTTGCCAGTCATTGCTATCACTGACCTAACAGTCAACTGCAGAGCAGCAGGCAAAATGCAAGGGGGTTTGCAGTGGATAGACAGCAGCTCTTTCACTTCTTTAGACTTCAGTTTCCTTACTGAATACGTCCCAAGGTTAATGGCAATGAGATAAGATATTTCGTGCAAAAACCTTCTACCCAGCAAATTGCTAAGTAAGAGATTACTGTCATCTGTTTTCCATTGGATAGGTCCGAAGCTGGAAAAATGATGGGTGGCATTTTAGATAGGAATGACACGTAAAGCTTGAGAAACTGGAAGCTTGAAAAAATGCACATTTACACCACACCTAAAATAAGTACAATACAGGGGAAGAGAGACTAGCTACATTGTTGGGAAAGGAATGGCTGAGTGCCCATGTAACAACACAAAAACCTCTGGTAATGACAGCTATGTCACCCTGCAATTACAGAAAAACCAACGGTGTGCTAGAGAAAGCTTTCATTTACGTAGTTAGGGTCTCCAAGTACCTTCCAACCATGGTACCAAATGCTTTTTCCTGCAACCCTATAGAATAGACTACTCTTATGGAATGGACCAGGGAGGTGAGCTTGAGCAGAGAACATCATACTCGAAGGCCAATGATGGATGTTCCCATTGCAAAAAGGTTGTGGACTGCGCTTCTAGAATTCCCCTACTGTCATTCCTGCTGCTTGTAGCCAGTGCCATAGGGAGTCCCCATCTTCCCACTGCTGATGGAGTTTAGGAGGTTGCCCCTAACCATGAGATACCATTCACTCCATTCCTGCACAGCTCTATTTACTCATTTACTCAGCCAGTGTCTATTGAGTGCCAGCAACTTCTGGGCACTAGGACTGTGACAAAGCAAAACCTCTGTCTTCATGTTGAAGGAGGAAGACTATACATGCATCCCTGTAGGTTGTATATGCCACAGATGTACAATTGAGAAAATAAACTGCCGGAAGGGAACTAGGACCTGCCAGAGGCAGTGAAAATTGCTATTTAGTATTGGGTGCTCAAGGAGGGCCTCTCTGCGAAGAGACCTGAAGGACATGGGGAAGCAGGACAAACAGTGTCTTCAAGAAAGTTGTCCAGTGAGAGAGAAGGGCTGGACACCAGAATCACAGGGACAGCAAGAGGGATGAGGCCAAAGAGGGGCAGGCAGTGCAGATGGACTCATGATAGCTGTGCTGAAATGTCCAGCACCTGTTCTGCTTTCTGTGGGACGCAAGTACCTCTATTTTCCACTGAGAACATTAAAGAGCTGGGAAAAGATCCTACTTCTGACACAGCATTAGTACTAACGTGGTCTGAGCTTGAGTTAGTTTTCTATTAGCCTCATCACCTCTCCTCATTTTCAATTAAAAGGCCACCAACATGCTTTTGTAATAATAAAATTAATATATAAACACATTTGCACTGAAAAGTAAATACAGAAGCATATAAACTCACACGTGGAAATCCCATTTCTCAGCCCCACTCTGAAGTGTCAGCATGAACATCCTGGTGTCTATCCCTCCAGCCTTTTCTGTGCCATCACAGGTACTTAAACACATATGCACACTCACACAGAGCCAATATAGTTTGCATTCTCACATAATTTTTTTTTTCTGTGGCACTTTCTTATTTAGTAATATGCCTTGGAGATCTTTCCGGTCAATGTGTATAGCTCTTGCTCTTTTTATCAGATGTACATGTAACCATCTCCTCGTTGGTGAATTGTTGCATTGTCTCCAGTTTTCACAGAATTCTCATGCTACATTTCTCTTCCAATTAAACCAGATTTTCCCTTTGTCCTGCATGTCCCACAATATTTTCCAACCTAATTCAGGGCTTTATATTTCCCTGTTGAATTTCATTGCTGATTTGGGTTCATCCCTCTGACCCACGTAGATTTTTCTGTGCCCCATATTCAGTCCATAAGCAATTCCTTCCAACTTTATGTCATCTGTCAGTTGAAATAGCCTACATCCTCTGTAGTCACTGAAACCAATAAAAATGCTGACAATGAAATGCCACCAAGGATTGCCTTTGAGCACCTGTGCATTTACCAAGATGGTATGAGTTCGAGTTTTGAGAATAAATGCATTTAACTGCAACTAGTTCACAAGTTTTCATCACAAGCCCAAAATCCAGACTAGAATTCACAATGATGTTGAGCCACTGGCTGCTGCCATCTACTGTCCTGAAGGGTCACTGCAGGGCACTGCCTCTCCCCAGGACCCTCATGATGGCAGGGCCCAGCCAGCCCAGCCCCCTTAGGACCTCCTGCACCTGCACAGGCACACATCCCCTCCTTAAAACCTCACTGCTTCTATTGCTCTGAAGTTTATATTTCCAATTTGTAAAGAGCTATCTAGCCATTTTTGTTTTATTATGGTAACCATGAAAATGAAAAAAAAAAAAAAAAACCTAAACCATACCACTTCCTCTCATAAGTGGTATAATGAGCAATATTAGCAAACTGCTACAATCTCATGATTATAGTGAGTGGCTTGTCAGAAGGTTCTTAGGTAGGTTTTTCCTCTGGTTTAAGTACTCTGTCACCTGGATTTTGAAATCTCACCATCTAGGCCTGTAAACACCACAGTCTGATGATTTCTTAGTCATCACTCATCTGTTAAAAAGTATTTTAAATCACCATCTCACACTATTTAAAGATTCAGTGTTATTTGGGTTTACTTCTATTGCTATAGGGGGAAAATCACCTAATATATTCCATTCAAATTTTTCCTTATTTATTGGATATATACTTTGCCAAACCAAAAATATAGGTTTAGGGCAATTTTGAATCACAATAGATTCAAGACTCTATTGAATCTATTGTGCTAACTAACTCAAGAAAGCATGACTTTTCCCATTTTCCCTACTTTTTCCAAAAGTGAGAGAGAGATTTCATTCAATGTGAACAGATACTTGCACACCCATATTCACAGCATTATTAGACACAATGGCTAAAGGTGGAAACAATCCAAATGTCAATTGACAGATGAAGGGATAAACAAAATGTGGTCTCCTTGTACAATGGAATATTATTCAGCCTTTAAAAAGTAGGGAAATCATGTCATGTGCTACAACATAGATGAGCCTTGAGGACTTCGTACTCAGTGAAATAAGCCAGTTACAAAAGGGCTGATACCGTATGATTCCACTTATATGAGGCACCCAGAGCAGTTAGATTCACAGGGACAGAAAGTAGATGATGGGTGCTGGGGACTGAAAGGAGGGGTGAATGGAGAATTAGTGTTCAATGGTTACAGTTTCAGTTTGGGAA